CCACGACATCAGCTCTGTAACTTTAGACAAACTGTTCAACCTCTCTGAGCTGTAATGTTTCTCAACTGTAAGACAGCAGTTCTAACATATACCCTACAGAGCTTACACGATACAGTGTGTGTAAAGTGTGTAGCACAGAGTCTATGTGCACACGAGAGGCCAGCGAGCAGTGAGGTCGGGTGCATTCCCACAGTGGTGATGAAAAGCGTCCCTGGGACCTGGTGAAGACCAAATCATGGCCCTCTCAAGTCTGGCAGACAGGAGGCAGCTTAGCTGAACAGAGACAGACCCAGCTCTGACTGGCCAGGGCAGGACGTGTCTGTCTGGCTGAGGCACTGTTTAAAAGCACAGCCTGCCAATCTTTAGTCCTGAGGGTGCAGCATTGCCCGGCGGGCGCCCTCCAGTGACAAGCATGGGCTACAAAATACCCATGGGACACTGCCCCATGTTTAAGTTCCATCTGTGATCATGAAACTCTTATAGAATCTGGTGAGAGTAAAAACACAAAACTTAAAAAGTTTGCCTCTATTCCTGACAACCAGAAACAATCAGCTGATACTCTTATGCCTTGTTTCCATTTTCTGGCACACCTGGGATCATCTCACAGACACAAGTTCCTCACCGGCTTGTTCGGGTCCAGGTGCTCCCGTGTGCGTGAGATGAGCCGGTGCCATCACTCCTGACAGCATGGGTCTGCACCCCACTGTACGCCCTCCTCGGGGCAGGTGGGTTCTTCCTCTCTGGCTATCATAACCAGTACTGAGTAGCTCATCAACACCTTTACACAACTGTGCAGCTGCTTCCTGAGAAGCAGGATGGTCAGGTCAGGGACTGCATAATTCCTAAATGCCTGAAGAAACCAAGAATAGCCAGCTTTGCTGAGATGGAAGGATGAAGGAGAAATTTCTGTAACAGGAAAAGTGTCTTGTCTACCAGCCTTCAGCACCTCTGTCTCTCTTTCCCTCTCCCTCCCTCTCTCTCTGTCTGTCTGTCTGTCTCTCTCTCTCTCTCTCTCTCTCTCTCACACACACACACACACACACACGCCCTACCAGGAGCCTGACTTGCTCCCTGATAAGCACCACCAACTCCTTCTGGGGAAGTCGGGATCCAATAGAGACACAGCTAAGCATTTCATCTGGAAGCCAGCCATGCACAAGAGCAGCAGAAGCACCTACGAGAGCACCATGCGCTCCTGTGAGCCCTGCCAGGCTGTCCCTGGGCCTGCTGCGATGTGCAGTGTGGCAGGCAGCAAGCTCCAGGGACAGGAAGGGATGCAGCAGTCACAAAGCTATGCTGCAGGATGAAAGACAAATGCAGGAACACTCATGTGCTCAGCGTCTACACAGACAGAGCCATTAGCAGCCAAGCAGAGGCACCTGCAAGGGCGGCCCAGCGCCACTTTCAAACCCTCAAATGCTAACAGCTGCACTGGACACAGAGGCGAGCACTCGGCCTACTGTTCACTGGCGGAAGGAGCATGAGTACATCCCCAAAAGTCTTTCTGGTCCTGCTCACCACAGAGCTCCAAGTGAGCATCCCTGGGTTCGATATTTTAATTTTCCCTTCCCTACTGCAGTGTTTTGTTCTCTGTTTTTATTAATTTAAAAAGATCTGTCATTCAGTAACTGCCTACCATCTGCTAAACACTGTCCTTGGAGCCTGCATTATTTCATACTCAATTAGTTCAAGGGAGGGTCCATGTTATGTTTACTTTGTATTCTAAAATGTGTTTGGCATCACCCAACTAGCTGGAATATGGACAGTTCCTGGTTTATCCTCCTGGTACAAAGGAGTTGCTCATTTTTTTCCCCTAGTACTGGGGATGGAACTCAGGACCTTGCACTTACCAGGCAGGAGCGGCACCACTGAGCTACATCCCTGGCCCAGTTGTTCAATTAACACTCTGGCTAAATGAAAAAAATGCATGCATGAAAGAACACACAAGATCTTAGGTGCCTTTCTAAGCCCATGAAGTTCCTATTACATTAGACTCCTTCAGATGTCTTTGAAATGTGCTACCTTACACGCTTTTTCTGAAAATTATACACCAAGAATCGGAAATGAGCAACACTTTTCCATCTGTACACAGCAGCGTTCAGCAGCCGAAGTGCTCTGTCCTGCACAACCACCAAGACCCATGGGAAAGTTGTATTAAAGATACAAGGTATTGTCCTGGAAACATCTAATTTGACAGCCTGCAACTCTGTTTCCTCATCAGTACAGAACTAGCTGGGTAGAGACCTGGCTGCTGACCTCCCTCACTCTTCCAGAACAGACCTAGAAGGCACAGACACAGGAAGTGAATTCCAGAGGACACAGAAGGCTAGAAAGGGTGGGGGGTGACCGCTGCCTCACGCAACTTCAGCTAGACTCTCAAATCTAGCCCGCAGCACTTACTGAAATCTGATTCTGGCTGCAACTCACTTCCCTGCTAGATGGTTTTTGTTCACTTTTGAAGAACCTGCAGAGACTCCCAGGGTTCTGCAGAGGTTTACTGCATGCAGGTTACCAACCATGTGCATGCAGGTTACAAACCATGGCTCTTTCTAGGACAGGAAAACCTCGATGCCGAATGGACCGTGTCGGGAGGCAGCTCTTTTTCCCTGGGAGGGGGACTCCTCCTGCCCCCAGTCTATATTCACTGACTGGGTTCGGGGTTCCTGCCCTGCTGGTCTGTCGTCCACTGGTGGTGCTCAACTGGGACACACTCCAGAGTTCTTTCTAACCGTTCTGAGTCTCCTGTACCTAAATTCAATGAAGGGTGCAGAAGCAGCCAGAGGAAAGAGCCTAAAGTAGCAGAGTCCAGCAGGAGCCTCTGGAAGAGCCAACCCAACTGTTGGCTCTTGACTCATCACATGGCTCACCAGCCAGCAGTGATCAGAAGGAAAGGTCATCGAAACTGGCATTTCACAAGTGTCTGAGAAAAAGTATCTTCCACATCATCCTCAATCTTCACACTTTAAAAATGCTCTTCTTTGTGTTTTTAATAGGATATGACAGTGAGTAGCCCTGCCGCTCAGAGCTGAGTGTCTACTAACTTGGACCCTTGAGTACTTCCCGAAGGCCAGAATTGAGACTCACCACACCCCACATGCCTGGGCACAGCGTGTGCAGGTCGTGAAGTAAAACAGACATGCGTGGGCTCCTGTGCATGTGCCGTGGGGCTGGAGGCAGGTCACTGTTCCCATTTGTCTCAGCCTCACCTTCTTTTTAGGTACCAAGGAGGCAAGAATGGGACTTATTCTAAAAGGAGGTGGCAAAGATGGAGTGGAATCGTGTAGGGAATACACCTTGCACAATGCTGATATAGAATGAGAAAACAATACATCACAGCTTTTAAAGTGCTGGTTTGTAGCCACACTGGGGCAGAAGAATGCCACCAAACATCACTCTTCAGTGACTATCAGTGCAGACAGTATTTCTGTATGCTTTCAGAGAAAGGGAAGAACCACGTAATTCCTTTCTAGGTCATGCTACACAGAGACTTAAGAGTTAAAATATGTTCTTGCCGGTACAGATTTGGGAAGTCAAAAAGCAAAGGTCAGTGGTCTTAATAGTATGGGCAAAATTCACAGCAAAGGACTTGCTCGTGAGATCTGCTGGAGGCAATGGGCACCACGAGAACGCCTGAAACCACAGCATCTGAGTTCAGCTCCCATCCCAACACCGGCACAGGAGAGTCTTCTGCCAGGACTCCGCTCCTTCCCATCCAGCCCCGGTGGTGAGATTGCGAGGAAGCCCATGGACGTACGATACCCTCCCTCAGACCTGGCTGCTTCCCCGTCAATGTGGCTAATGTCATCTTTTATTAAATGGGTCACTTTAGAAGTAACATTTCCCAGAGAGAAGTACCCGACGCTGTCACAATGGAACAACCGGATACAGACAGCAGGCAGTAAAGCAAGGGATCATTTGAGAAACCTTGGGGAACTCTGTTGGTCTTGAATTAGGGTCTGGCTTGGAGGTACCATAAAGACCCTGAGAAACTATTTCATTTGTTGATGCAATTTAAAAAATAAAATAAAAAATAAAGAATAGGGAGGAAGACAGGAAGTCCACACATTTCTTTGAAAAGGATTTTAGTAGACATGTTAAGACATGGGCCTGAAGGCTGGGGATTCAGCTCAGTGGTTCCGCCTCCTGCCTCGCAAGCGAAAGGACCCGAGTTCAAGTTCCAGTACCAAAACCAAAACCAAAACCAAAACCAAAACCAAAACATGGGCCAAAAAGAGGGACGATTTCTAATGGTAACTGTCATTAGGTAGAATGCAGCCAGACATGGAAGACAGCGATAGGTTGAGAAATACAGACGAGCACAAGCTCTCCGACAGAGCTGAAGTGTCCTGAAATGTGTCCCTTAGTGGCCCAACATGTTGCCACAAATCATGGCTGAGTGGACAGTCAGCAAAACATTGGAGGGAATCCCCCAGTGGGCACCTAAGAATTTCACTGAGCCTAAACTAAGAGCAATGAAGAGGTCCACTTCTGTATCTCTTGAAACTACAGAATACTAGCAAAACTGAAAATGGAAGAAGTTCTGACAAACACATAAGCTCTTTGGAATTCTATTTGTTAGACTTTGTAATTCTATATGGTAAAAAATCCACAAAAACAAATGAACCGAAAACTCAAACAAAATGCAAGCAGTTAGTTTCTGATTATAGAAACGGTTATAATAACCTCAAGAAATTACCAACGTTTAATCCTAAAAACAAGCAACTGTGGCAGAAGAGAGCACATCGCAAAGGCACTGCGGCCACCACTTTCTACGTCCAAATCCCCATGCTATATATTCTTAGCTGTGCAACCTTCAACAAGCCACTAAACACCTCTGTGGTCTCCGCTCCCGCACAGGGCTTGTAGCTTACCTCACAGGACTGAACAAAGATAACGGTGAGGCACGCTCTGCTCTGTAGACTGCGACAGCGCTACCTTCCCACGCACAGCCATGAACCCATGTGCCACCTGGGATCCCTGCTTAACCAGGAAGTACATACCTGAGGTGCCACAGGCATGCTTTCCTGCTGAGGGCTCCTGCTGGGGGAGGCTGCGCCTATAAATAATGTGGGGTTTGTTTTGCTCCTCTTCCTTCTCTTGTTCATCCATGGACAACAGTGGTTCAATAAAATAATCTCCATCATGGGACCGGAATGTGCCCAGCTGCAAATAAAAAAAGAGGAGAAGCTGATTTAACAGAAGCCAGCCAATGGGAGGGAGAAGAGCGACGGAAGGGTTCCGGCTAGAGACAGGGCCATCTCACTCAATCGCTCTCGCAAGGGGGCTGTGTAAATAGAAAATGCTGGACATATGCAGACAAGCGGTTTGTTTCGCTCCAGCTTATTGTGCCTACTGTCCAGGGCTGGCGCGTCCTTGGCATTCAAGTTCCCATCATATTACTCTATGTTATAGACTGTTGGAGGAGAGCATTTCGGAGTCTTCAGGCTGCCTAGCACACGTCTGGGCTCCTGCAGTAGCAGCTGGCTGGCTTTAGCAAGCAGTTCTGCCTGCCACAGGGTGCCCAGGTGGCACCACCTGGAACCCTGGCATATCCGGGTGCGGGTGACAGGCTGAAGGGACCTTGTTTCTGATCCCAGCACCACACCTACCCTCCCGTCTGTGTTTCTGTCTGTCAGTTAAAGACGCTTTCTGTAAAAGCCAATCATGCAGATTAAATGTGATAACCCAAATAAAGCACTCAGCCAACTACCTGACACCTGGCGGGGCCTCCGAACATGTGCTGGCCCCTCACCCCCAGGTTCTAGCTCACTTAATCCCAATCCCCCATGCTCAGCGCTTATAAAAGGTCATGTTTCCTCCTCCCTTCCCCACACAGCTACTTAAAAATGACCAATGATGCTTTGGGCTTGAACCACCCAGACCAAGAATAACGAATACGACAGAAAGCCACCCAGTCAGTGGTGTTCACAGAAAGCAACAGGGCTCTCATGCCCTCTCCTGTTTCACATGGCAGAAAGCAATGAGAAGCCTCCCACCCTTCCCTGCGCACACGGAAAGTGGTGGACCCCGAACCTCAGCGGCACCAGCATGACCCAGAGCCTCTGAGAAAGTCAAGAAGCTGTGCACTGCTCAAACCTGCCCTCCTGCACGTGATCCCAGGTGGAACCTGAGAGTCACACTCCTAATGAACTCCCAAGTATTCTTTTTCTCCACAAACTATGAGAAACACTAAGACACTGGTTCCCAAATCCAAGCAGCATCGAAAGTGCCTGGAGAGTTTTTTTGTTTTGTTTTTAGATTTACAGATTCAGAATTCCTGGAAGTGAGGACGAGAATCTGGATTTTAAATGTAGTTCTCCATATGATCGAGGTAGCATGGTTTTAAGAAACAAAAAACAGCTCTCAGGTGGGCCAAGCAATAAACAAAGCAGCTGCTGCCACCTACCCAGGCACTCTCTGCTGCCAGTGTGCAGCTCTGGTGTTCTCCAAGCACAGACCAGGGGGCATAACAGGACATGGGACCCCAGTACTGAGAAAGTACTGGGAACTGCTTCGGGGAAGAGCAGCCACCTGCAATTGTCAGACGGAGAGCCAGTCCAAAGTCCCCCGCTGTCCAGTGCTTTAAAGAAAAAGCAAGGGCCCGGAAGTTTGCTTCAGAAAGGCAGACACAGTCTCAGGCCAGTGGGCTGAGCACGGGCAGAAAGGCAGGTGGAGTTCCAACCCCACCCCTCCGCAGCGTGGGCTACCAAGGCCCCAGAGTCTCATCAGTGAACGGACTGCTGTGAGGACTGTGTTTGTCTGAAATAATGTCTCTCTAAAGTGTTTACCACAGTGCAAGAGGAAGTGCTCCGACAGGCGGTACCAGCGTGGTATCAGAACCAGTCTCTGGGCCCAGGAGTCATGTTTCCTGGTTAAGGGGAGCACTGATCCCAACACATAGGCTTAGCACAGTGTTCAAGGACCCCAGGTGGGAGAGAAATGGATAGGTGCTCTCCTGGTGCCTAGGAAAACCCAATAGAAATGCACCAAGAACCTGCCACAAAGTGATACACTGAGCGCCCTGAGACATGTCTGGGTCCCTAGGCAGACAGCAGAGGGGAGAGCAGTCAGGAGCCCTGCAGAGAGCACTCCTGGGGAAGAGGACCTGAAACTACACTTTCAAAGAATGCTATGTTTCAAGCCTGTGAAGTTATATGAGGGAATTCAGAGAAAAGGGCATAGAGCAGACTGCCTGAAATATGGGCACTCCTAGCAGGGTGAGCCCTGTCCTAGGGACCACACCAAGTGCTTACAGCTGCTGGCTGGGCCAGGAGCGCTACGGGAGGGCTGCAAGGGCAGTACTGGGCTCCACACAGGCATTGCTGTGTGGCAGGGACCGAGCAGACTGGAGAAGCCCCCAGGAGAGGGAAAGAGAGGAGGCCAGGGGAGAGAGGTTCAAAAGAGGTAGGCAGCACATCCAAGACCTATTCAGCGAAGCAGAGGACCAACTGGTGCGGGCAGGCGGTGAGTTACAATAAGGAAGGAAAGATTTCCGGAGGAATTACGGAACAAAGTGTTAGAAACATTATGAAGCCACGGCTAAAGAAATGATAAGTTTTGGGAGGAAAGAAAATTCCCAGAAGGAAGACAAAGGAGCAGAGGTTTCTGAAGCTACATTAGGCAGGCCCTTTTCCCCAAAAGAGGCAGGTTGCAAAGTAAATGCACTCTGTAAATGGAGTATCCCAGCTGTCTTTTCTGAAGCCCAGTCTCCGTTCCTGAAGAGACCACGTGTACGTTACCACCTAAATCTACCAATGGAAATTAAGGTTCTGAGCAGCAAAATATTTACCCAACTGCTGGGGCCACTGGGGCGGCGGCGTGGAGGCGGGGACAAGAGGGGTGCCGCTTGTTTACAAACTTGACGCGCACTAGCAGCCCTCTGGGGCGTCCTGGAATTGCAGGGAGCGTCCCCTTCGCGGGGCTTCACACCGGACACCTGCCCGCCTCGGCCCTGGCCCTCACAGCGGAAGGGCTCCAGCGGCCGGGACCAGGCCTGGGGCAGGGCG